AGTCCTGTTGGTTTTTCGGCGGCAAAATGATGCGAGTTGACGCAAAGAACTTGGCGAATTCTCTGGTTTATGGTGTATATATATATATAATTCTAGAGTTACTATGGTTGATAAGCCGAGTTATTACATAAGTGAATAGCAATAAGTATAACCGCAACTAATTTAGCTTAGATATGATTGATATAGAAATCGATGTGTTTTTTGTTGATGATCTACTTGTATTATGGGTTTTCCATATCAATATGTTCATGTATTGGATATTGGATGGTAGGGTCATATTAATATTGGATTATACTTTGGTTACTTTAGAGTTTGCCGACGGGTTTATAAATGTTTATGAAACAACTTATAAATGCGGAAAATTCCTTGTAGCTGCCACAACGTCGGAGAGATCTGGGACAAGTATGGACAAGTCGAGCCATGTTGAAAGGGAATGGGGGGGGGCAGTTCATGACCATCTGAAAAATGGAGAAAGGATGGAATGGGTTATCCTATGTCTGGACAAGACCATGGAGGAACTGGCACAACAACTTATTTTCATTCACTAACATTTACGCTTTGTCTGAAGATAGGCTTGGTTGATACTAATGTTCCCTCTTAAAATTGCCGGTTGGACGACATACCCCATGTTCAATGAAACGAAGATATATACTCCTAGCAGTTGATTCAATTACAGAATAATCAAGAATCATGTTTCACCAGCGAATAACTGGCAATTTTGCTAAAGGACATCCTGCAAAAAACAGCTTGACATGGTTGGCCTCATTTATAGAGAGCCTGTAGAGTATTGTCACTCTAGGGTTTTTGCTGTTGTGTTCTTGCATAGCGAATATTACATCAATGGTGCACCGACCACAAGAATGATATTGGCCGAGGCTCCAGGCGGAATGTTTTCTGGATCGAGATCCCTTAAATCAATTCCCAACATTTCCCTTCCACAAAATAGATGACCCCCAAATCGTGGGAGTCTGGAAAAATTGTTACCCTGTAACCAGCCAGTGAACCTGGAACATGTTTCTGAAAATATCACCGGCTTTTAGTGTAATCCCTCTCCCCGGATGTCAAAATCTATTAAGGACCATCAAATATGACGCCCAAATCGCAACAAATCTAATAATGAAGTTCCCTTCCCATCATTGATGGGGCCACCTGGCTATATGTCTCTTCATTTCTGCATGTTTACTTCGTTAGGATGCTTGAATCCAATGTCCCACTGGTAAAGTCAAATCCACCATTTGTAGCCCGTGTGTCATCTTCAGCATTCGAATGGATATCTGATATCCCTATGAAATACCCCAAAAACACGATATCCATAGCCTCATAATATCCTCATATAGCCACTATAATTGTTTCCCCCATGATCCAGGATGGGGTCCCCCAGGTATAAGTTGGTTTATAAACTCCATTAACTATAGTTATTTATAATTATATCATGTTATATCTACCATAAACCATAGAATTCAGCCACTTTTCTAAGGCAACTGAACGCAACAACGACTGGGGGGCCCATCCCGGATTCCTCGCTGCGATTTTCCGGCCTCCAGGGCAACCTTGAGATCCTCCCGCAGGCGTCGCTGTTGCAAGTCTTGCGCTTGTTGTTCGCGCAACCTGGGGATCGTGGATCGCACTCCAGAAGAAGGACTTCATCGAATTGCTAACAATCATTGAAACCAGGTTTCATTAATACATTATGTAATGGAAATAATTACACATATAGATGTATGTACATATAATGACACCAGTATATATGTGACTATATTATATGTACAACATTGTACAACGATATAACTACTATATATATACATATGCGTATCACTATACAGACTATATAGATAGAATTATTACCATTATAAATATACGTAACCGTACATACACCTGTGTGTATAACTGTACACGTCTAACTGCAAATATAACTGTAACTGTATGTAAATGTAAAGATGTAAGTCTATATAGATACAAAACATGGCCCATTCATGCATGGTTGTTTGACCAATGATATTAAATTATGTATTTAATTATGTATTGAATTATGCATATTTATGCATTATACATATAATATGGTCAGGAATGTACTCATTGTATCTAAACTGTTCCTGAAGCCTTTAGACAGCACTGCACATCCTTTAGACAGCGCAGGACACAGCGGATCTCCAAGATGGGTGATTCCACCCATATGCACCTACAATCCCAGGGCCCCAGTTCAGTTGTTGGTTTATGAAATCTATAAATTCCATTAACGACTATAGCTATAAGATGTTCTAAGTTTCACAAACCATAGTTGCTGGAGTTATGTTCACCAACTTAGCTATCTTGAACAGGGCCCCACGTAGGCTTTTTGCTAACTCCAGTTATGAATCATGGAGGTCCTCGCCCATTTCCCAGACTGACCTCACGTTATGCTCCTCGCTCAAAGCTTTGACCTTTTGGGACACCTGACAATGGCAAGCATTTGCACGACATTGGGATGGCTCGAAATCAGTAAAATCTTGAGATACAGTCCACCAAAATCATAATTCACACAACAAAAAATGCAGAAAAATCCTCTGTCTCCCATTTCACAATGGAATCCAAGCGTCACTCCTAAGTACTTTCAATTCACCAATCTTATGAAAAAAAATGTGAGTCCATTGGATTCACATCCAAATAGGACAGCTATGTTCAGGATGGCTCTGAAAATCTTGTGGGAAAAAACCCAAGGCTCGGAAAAAACATCTTCAGTTCATATGCATGAAAAAGTATACCCTTTTTGGTAAACCAGAGAAAATGCAAATTTTTGTATGTCCAGGGTGATACTAACAATGATGTCTTCCTCACAATTGAAAAAGGGTTCCTCGACTTGTCGGCTTTTCTTAGGGGATTGGTTTGCCTTATTTTCCATCCCTACATTTGAATAGGGATTCATAAAATACCCCCCAAAACCATATCCATATCCCTAGTGAAGATAGATGGATATATATTTCTTTAAAAAACAAAATAGATCATGCGTGGTGGCTCATCCCAGGAATCCTAAGTGGGTGTCTACATCTTATAACCCCAGTTAATTCAGTAGGCTAAGTAGGGGCAATGTCAAGCTATGACCAGGGTCCAGGGTTACATATGTATAAACCACTTACGATTCCAGGGATGAGCCACAAAATATACTAGCATCACTTCATATAGAGTGAATATATTGATGCATTATCCCTCTGAGAGCTAGGATCATCAGCAACTACCACTGATGTGTATCATCCGATGTTCCGACAGTGAGAATAGAAAAAAAAACAACAGGAAAAAGTGGTAGCCCCAGTGCCATAAACGATCCCGATCCCCAACCAAGCCGTCACCATTTTATAGCATTTTAATGGGTGGGCTTCCAACAATCCCTAGTCATGGTACGTGTTTCTGGCAGACAGGGTTTCCCACATTCTTCCAGTTATCCATTCTTCATCTATGGCTGTTGGTTAAATACCATTATTAAATTGATTAACCATTAAAATTATTAACCACTACTTATATAATATTAACATATATTAACAATTATTGAGCATGATTAACCATTATTATTCAATATTGAATATTACCAACCATTATTATAATACCGTTGCGTATGTTCATACCACATTCTTTGATTATGGTGATTATCTGATTATCACTACCATTGTTAGTCACTACAACTATCTGTCATTATATATATATATTATATATATATCCTGATCCCATCATCCATATATGTGTATATATATATATTCCCATGAATAAATGGCTAGTCACTGTCACTATCACTATTCACTATCATGTGTATATAAAAATGACCAGTCCCAAATAATATACTATATATATATATATATTAAAAATCCTTATCCCATCATCCCATGATTTCCCATGACTCTCCTGCCACACACAAACCCGCGGAGAAGCTTACGCTGGACATGTCTGACCTCTGCATTCGCTGCTTGCCGCTCCTGAGCCTCCACGTCCATGTCGGAGCGGACCTAGCAAACTGGTGAGGTCACCCAAGAGCCCGACATGTGAAAAGTACGAACAAAACACATGAAATTGTAGAATTGTCGGGTAAAATAACATGTCAATCATTTTTCTGATGACTTATACTGACGGCCTCAAGGTGGATATTCTCCGTTTGGACGTTTGTCAAATCCATCAGATCCATCACTTAAGATAGAGAAAAAAATCGTTTGATCCACTCTCATAGTTTAGGGGTACCCAGTTCTAGTTGTTTCTTCGGCTTTGGTCGTTTCTGAAACGGTTAGAAGAAACTGCTTTTGGGATCAAAGTGAGGTGATTAACCCTCAGATTTCGATGGACCACAATGGGCCCATGGAAAAAAAGGACACCTATGAAAAATAAATTGCAATAGAGTCAATTTAGAATGAGGTCTTACTAGGTTTTAATAACATCATTCAAAACACAGAGAAAATTCATGACTGGGGGGAGTTATATAACACTATTCTGGAGAATTCTGGTGAGATGTTCTTCCGCTGTATCCAGCTCTAACATGTCGAAACTACTCAGATTACTCAGGGTGCAATTCTCAGGGATGTCTTCGGATCCGTAAATTTTGGGTCAAAGCCAAGGAATTCCCTCCCGCAAAACAGCTAGTAAATGGATGTTCACTCCCGAAGAGTATGGCAATAATGGGTTTTGACCCACACCCACATCAAAAATGATATGGCCAGAAGGATGTTTGGCGGATGTGTAACTAACATGGGAATAACTAAGGCGTGAGAGGAACATATGCAAAAAACGTTGCTGATCGGAGTTCAATGGACCGCTGACGGGACCCCAATATACCCCAATGCCCAGCAAGTGAAATGTCGCCCTTTATGAAACCTCATCAACCATCTTTGGTAAATATACGGCATAAACATAACTTCACATTTTTCTTGACACTTTTTTGAACATATCCTTCCCGCAAATGATGATTTCCGTAAATGATGATTCCCAGGCTAAGCATCATTTGTATTCTTGGGTGCCACCAACTAAGCCGGTTTAGGGATGGTTCGACCCGGGCCTTTCTCATCCCTTTCTCCAAGCTTTCAAACATCGCCAAACGCAAGCCCCGCTCCTAAAAATATTCAAACTCGGGTGGTCTGAAAAAATGCCGTAGACCATGGTAAACCCGAACATCAACTATTCCTATCTATTCCTACTATCACCAGAAATGGTAAACCCGAAAATCAACTATTCCTACTATCACCAGAAATGGTTTGTATAAGCCTCCAAAATAGGCGGCTTTACCACATTTTCGATCTGTTGCCACAGAATCCCCAGACTCGATCGTGGGATATCCAGATATCTGTGTCGATGCTCAAAACGTTCCTGATTGGATCTCTAAAGCAACCTCCAAAAAAGATCGAACCATAATTCCCACTACAGTAATTTATTTCATTGGTTTATATATGCCTTAGATTATGGTTTCCATCTTCATTACCATTGCCTTTACCGCATTTTGGATATGTTGCCACAGAATCCCCAGACTTGATCATTGGTTTCCAATGGTGTCCCATCTTCATTGGGCTTCCCGCGCTGTCAGTGGATGGTTGGGAAATTCGAATCACAAGTTGAGGGATGTGGTAAGCATCCCATGATGTTTGATGGGTTTCAACCATCAAAAATAATGGAAATGTAGGATTTCGCAACCATCCACAGTAGCTATGGAAAATGGAAAATTGATGGAATATGTCCATTTGGGTCAATGGTTCGCGTTTTATGATTACTATTCCATACATGGAGCATTGGGGATAGCTAGAAAATGGACAGTTTATAGATGAGTTGCCACAGTATCTTAGATAATATACAGTAACGTAATATAACTCCCAATCATCAGCCATCAGGGGACTGCCCATCGCTCCTCGTTGAGCTTCGCTTCCTGGCCATCGAGAGAGCAATTTCGGATGGGCATGTGCAAAAAATACGATGACAGCTTTTGGCAACTTATGGCCACTTCATCAGTATCAACTCAGGATATACTATTATATATATATACATTAATAATGATACATGTTCAAATATAATTATATATATAATTATATATATATATCAATATATATATATATACACTTAAATAAATAACAATAAATATATATGTATATAATATAGTATAATGTAATATAATATAATTTAAAATAATTTAATAATATAATATAATATAATACAACATAATACAATATATTAAAATATAACATGATATAATATAATACAACATAATACAATATATTAAAATATAACATGATATAATATAATTTAATATAACATAACATAATATAATATAATATAATATATTATAACATAACAAAATATAATATATAATATATTATATTATAAAATATAGTATAATACAATGTAAAATCATATAATATAATATGATATAATATAATGTAAATAGAATATATATATATATATACATATATCCCATGGTGATGGTGTGTTTATCTATATTTAGCTCTATGATTCGGTGATTGCTCATGATGTGGTGGTTCCAACCCATCCCAAAAATACTAGCCAGTGGCGACTGTTCATTCCAGATATGCTTGATTAATCAGGGTTTGACCTGACTTAATCATACCTATCCATATGTATGTAGATATCCCATATGCAAACCATGGTGCTGACATATTTACATATTTACCCTTATTCTTAGGGTACCTGTTGGTAATTCCGTACGTGGAGCGGTAGAACTCGGGTTTCTTCGATTTGACATGTGAAATTCAGCGGATCCATGACAATCCCACAATGCAAAATCAAACCTGGGAACCAACAAAAACAAAACAACAAGACCAACAAGTTGAAAGAACACCCAAGTTTATTCAAGTACAGGACCGATTTACCATGATTTACCCATTCTTGTTTTTTTTTTTTTACGGGGTTAGTAAATATATATATATATATATATGTGTGTGTGTGTTTTAATCTCTCTTGTTGTTTTGTTGTTGTTGTTGTTGCTGTTGCTGTTGCTGTTGCTGGTCCCATGACAGTTCGGTTTCAGAAGGCTGAGCAGCATGGCTTGTGAAGCGGTCTTCTCCCTGAAGGGTGGAACCTCCAGGAACAAAGCAGCAAAAATGACAAGGACATGAACTTGCTGCAGCATAGTTCAGCTCAACTGCTGCATTAACAACTCGTGGTGTGCATTAACAACAACTCATGCTGGCTAGAACTGATGGCCGTTGTAATCCACCCAGTCAAATCACCCGCCCACTCCGGCTTGCAGAGCAATCTGCTCCTGAGTCCAGCAACCCCTGCACTTTCTTTCCAAGGCCAAGAAGAACCACTGCTGAACCATGTAGCACATTTTTTTGCTAAACTCATGCAGCAATGGCTACTTCAGCTTGGGGGCAGGATCTTCACTTGATGATAGGTTCCATCATCGATGCCGCCAATGTCAGCAAACTTCCTAATCTGATCTTCTGGTATGCAATTGTCCTGCAATACCTCCAGCCTCAGTGTGGACACATGTTTGAATCTAGCACTGGCACATTTGAAACCAACTTTGAACCAATGCAGGGATCATATTACAATCACGGCGAGCAGGGTACAGATTGCAAGCACCAATCTGCAATTAAATCAAGGTACATTCCCCAGCAGTGACATTCGGCAATCATCAAAATCTTGGGGCCGATTGGATCGCTGCGTTTCTTCCAAGCTTGAGATGTAAAACCAATGGGGAACCCCATGATTGACTCTTTTTCTTCAATGGTGAACATGCGCCACCCATGTTTTTTGTGGATCACACCATTGGAATAATTGTATTGAAAAGGAGGAAACCGATGGCGGTCGGATTTCCATGCCTGCAAATCTCGGTGGGTGCATTTGGCTACAAATTGTCAAAATTAGACATGTCTCGCACGAAATGCTCGTTTTGCTGCTCCAACATGTCTCGTCTCGAGTCTCTGGCTTCGCCATGTCTGTGGAGGAAGCTGCAAAACGTTTCGTTTTCGAAGGTGTCAAAGTTTCAAACTTGGAGGATGTCTCCCACGAAATGCTCGCTTTGATGCTCCAACATGTCTGGTCTCGGGTCTGTGGCTTTCCTTTGGCTTCGCTGTGTCTATGAGGGAAGCTGCAAGACCTTTCCTTTTCGAATGTGTCGCAGCAAGCTTCTGGCTTCGCAGTGTCTATGGGGGAAGCTGCAAAACCTTTCCTTTTCGAAGGTGTCCACACTCCACACTCTACACTTGACACTCCACACTTTACACTCTACACTTTACATTTTAGACTCCACACTTTACACTCTACACTCCACACTCCATCCTCTACACTCCACACTCCAAACTTTCAAATCCACTCTTCACACTTTACACTCGAAACATTACACTCCACACTTTACACTGCACACTTCACACTTTACACTTCGCAATCCACACTTTACACTGCGCACTCTATACTCTACACTCCACACTTTACACTCCACACTCCACATTCTACACTCCATACTCTACACTCCACACTCTCCCCTTTCCCACTTTACACTCCACACTTTATACACTCCACACTTTACACTTCACACTCCACACTCTGCACTTTACACTCCACGCTTTACACTCCACACTTGACCTTTGATCCTTGATCCTTGATACTTGACACTCCACACTTTACACTTTACTCCCCACACTTTACACTTCACACTCAACACTTTACACTTTACACTCCAGACTTTACACTCTACACTTTACATTTTAGACTCCACACTTTACACTCTACACTTTACACTCTACACTTTACCCTCCTCAGTTTACACTTTACACTCCGCACTTTGCACGCTACGTTTTGTATATTCATGTATATTCCGCGGTCTACAATATATTGGCATGGGAACAGGGGAAAATCATACAAGACTGTTTAAACGCCTTGCTTCCATCTCGTTCTTATTCATGTACATGCATATATTGGTGGCCTGCAGGTCAAGGGGCGGATGACGAGTGCATAGAACGGTGAACGTTCAGCAGCATGTTCTCGATGCCTTTCTTCGTGGCTTCAGTCACCAAGCAATTGCGCTCTGCCATACCTGCCCCCTTCTCAACGCTGATCACCAAATCGTCGCACCAATTCAACAAGTCGGTTTTTCGGGCCGAAGGAACGCAGCTGGCCGCGACACTCTTGACAGGCGTTACACCGGCCGGAACCTTTGCATCGTGATTCACAGTTGTTTCCTCATTCTCCAGGAAGCCGTTGTTGGAATCCAGTACGCCCCTCAAGATCTCCAAGGGCCAGCCCATACTCTGCGCAATCCTGGCGGGAAAATGATCTGCGCGTGAAGTGTCTTCTTCTATCTCGGCACCAGAAATAAAACTACTTTCTTCTATCTCGGCGCCAGAAATAAAACTACTTTACTTCGTGTGATTCCCTCCATGGTCCATGACATGTCAAGACGTAAATCTCGACATATATTCTATATATTCTGACATTCTATCTGACATATATGCTGGCAATCTATCTGAAATATATTCTGGCATTCTATTTGACGTTCTATCTGACATATATTCTGGCATTCTATCTGGCATTCCATTTGAGATATACTCACGCTGGCATTATGTCTGACATATAACTACATAAATACTGGCATTCTATCTGACATTCTATCTGGCATTCTATCTGACATATATATATATTGACATTCTACTTGGTATTCTATCTGACACATATTCTGGCATTCTATCTGGCACATATTCTGCTGTTGCTGTTGTTGTTGTTGTTGTTGTTGTGGTTGTGGTTGTTGTTGTTGTTGTTGTTGGTCAAATCCTATCTGTTTCGGGCAAATTCATCATTTGTTTGGTAGTTTCCCTTGTTTAAATCCCATGTTTTGGTCAAAACTATCCAATTCACCTGTTGGTTTCCCCAGCCCAACAGATCTTAGCATCCCCACGTTGTCGCGAAAGGCACGTTCGCACTCGACCAGCGCTCTCCGGGACTCCGCTTTCAAGTCCTGCCGATGGAACCACTTGGAGGAATCAAAGATGGCTGGGAGTGCAGTTGAGGTTACAAAAGGGTATAACCATGGTTATAACTTATAACCCCCTATGATATCCTATAATTCTCTATAATTATGGTTACAGTATATAATTATATCCACTTAGAACTGGAACTGCACTTCCAACTGGGCTCGCTATATGGGATCACTTTGGATGTCCGCCCAGGTGCTCTCAGGTAGGTCACGCACAAAGTCTGGCAGAGGTTGCCGTAGACTCCGTAACCCATTGACTCCAGGAATCAAAGCATTGTGCCATGACTCTTGCAAAATTGGTTTCTGCCAAGTACCTCCAAGGGGGCTTCCAATGGCCAAGAGCCGACAGAAAATTATCATTTTCAAATCGAGGTGATGACGAATTCCATCACGTGAGTCACAACATGTCACAACAATATTCAATATGCACAACATTCAACCAGGGCGCTATCCTGTGAGTGTATATCTTTACATGTGGCTGGAAGAAATCCTGCACCATTTGGTAACTATTGGCGACATAATTCAACACTGTAAATCATGGGATTATAACGGGATTTTGCCCATCTACCAACTGGTGCAGGATTTCGCAACGATCCACAGTGGCTATGGAAAATCACCACTCTTAGAAAGGTAAATCATCATAATTAAATCATCCACAAATGGGGGCCATTGTCCATTGCTATCTACATCTATCTACAGTATGTTCAATCAGCAGAGGGTAAACCCACAATACGCCTTTAATATTCCATTGTTTGTCCATTCATATTCCATTGTATCCCCATTCATATCCTAGATATTAGATCACCATTATTGATGTTTTTTAGTGCTTGTAATATTCCATTGATATATTCCATTTTATCCCCCATGAATATCCTAGATCACCATTATTTATATTATTTATGTTTTTTCTTAGTGCTTATAAACTTATAAACTATATAAACCAACCAACTATATCCAACTATCCCATTCCCATCATCTTCCCATGTTCCCACCACAACACACTCCCCGCGGCGCCGGCGCCGGGGTCCTTCAGCTGCGTCTGCACAATCGCTAGCTCTTTGACCAACGAGGAGGACTGGTCCCGGATCTCAGGCCATGACTAGCGTTTTCCAGCGGATTTTGGGGGCAATTCCTATGGTTGGTATATGGTTAATATATGGTTAGTATATGGTTAATGATGGTTAATCATAGCTGGGTGGTGGTATACCTACCCCTCTGAAACATATGAAAGTCAATTGGGATCATGACATTCCCAATATATGGAAAAATATACCCTATGGTTATTTAACATAGCCATGGTATAGATGGCACATAGAAATAGATGGTTTACCGTTCTTAAAAATTGTGATTTTCCATGGCTATGCTAAATAACCAGATGGTATGTTTTGCCGCTTTGCCACCCAAGGTTCTACTGAATATGTCAGTTGGTATTCCACCTGATAAAGGTAGATTTTTGTCTTGGACCCCATATGTCATTATGACATTTTTTCATCGAAGGTCCATCGTCCATCATCCCTACGTGCTCAAACAGCACCTGAGAAGTTGCCTGCAATTTCTGCCATGAACAAATATATAACCAACCAACATCACACATCCTTCATACATGATATTGGTGGTTATCTATTCATGCTATTCCCATTGTTGTTGGTTATTTGGTTATAAACCCCATCGTGGTTGGTAAAATATCCTGTTAACAACCATATACCAACAATCAATAAGAATCCATTCTCAGACCTATACCCTGGGGTAAACTATTATAATATATAAGTGGAAAATCAACCGTTTGTAGATTATTTGCCTAGGGAAACCATAGGTTTTCCACATCTACGTTAGTTTAACCTGGGGTATCATCTTAAGGTCTTTGTATATCCTACTAATATCGGATACCAGCCACAGCCATAGCCATATCCCCAGGCATTCCTGAGCTCTCCGGGCCAGCTTCCACTGGATATGCGCCAGTTCCGCCTAGATCCCCCAGGTTCCAGTCGGTTCCCATAGAGGAAAACTGACCAGGTTTCCCCCTCGGAAAATGACCTACGAATAGTGGGTTTTCCATGGTTTTCCTGTATCTATGTCAAGTCCTGGAGGATAAATTGATAAATCCCCAATGAAATTCTGCTGAAATCAAACAAAAAATCCCCATGTTTGCTGAGTCCCAATTTCTTTTGCCTAGTGCCCCCGTTTTTGGGTTAACTAAATTTTCTTTTTGAGGGAAAGAGCTGGTGACACCAAAATATGTATAGGTCTTGATACGTATCAGATCATCGGGATAGAATGAATGCCCAGACTGCTCAGAAATGGAAGCTACTAGCAGACCTAGCACTGGATTTCCAGAAACAACTATATATACCAAGCAAGGATAGCAACCAATAGACAAATGGTTGCTCTTCTGGTGGAGCTCCGACTCGTCTCCAAAAGATCCAAAGATCCTCCAGAGCCATGCAATTCTATGACATCTAGGATACCATGGTGTCAGCTGGTATTTAAGATAATCACTGGATGAATAAATATGTATTCTTATATATATATATATACATACATAATCATAGATACATAACATTATATACACATATTTATAACAGCTCATGCTTTGGCAATTTCCATCGGAAAGGATCGTAGCCATAGAGAATCTTGGCACACACGCGGCAATGTATTCGTATGGGATGGAGACCAGCAGTGGAAAATAATGTAAAGCAATAACAAAATCCACACATCTATACGCATTTATATGTAGATCATACAGATGTACATAGGTGTATGCACGGAAAGACAGATAGATAGACAGATAGACAGATAGACAGATAGACAGATAGATAGATCGATAGATGGATAGATGGATAGATGGATAGATGGATCGATGGATAGATGGATAGATGATAGATGGATAGATGGATAGATGGGTAGATGGATAGATGGATAGATGGATGGATAGATGGATAGATGGATAGATGGATAGATGGAAAGGTGGATGGATGGATGGATAGTAGATGGATAGATGGATAGATATAGATAGATATAGATAGATATAGATAGATATGGATCGATATAGATAGATATGGATGGATATAGATAGATATAGATAGATATAGATAGATATAGATAGATATAGATAGATATAGATAGATATAGATAGATATAGTTAGATATAGATAGATATAGATAGATATAGTTAGATATAGATAGGTAGAGATAGATAGAGATAGATAGAGATAGATATAGTTAGATATAGATAGGTAGAGATAGATAGAGATAGATAGAGATAGATAGAGATAGATAGATTGATTGATTGATAGATTGATAGATAGATCGATAGATAGATAGATAGACATATCGACAGACAGACAAACAGATGAATAGATAGCCAGATAAGCAAATAGCCAGAAAAGATAAGATAAGATAATCTATCTTATCTTATCTGGCTATTTGCTTATCTGGCTATCTATCTAGATGATGTAAGATACGATAGATGGATAGATACACCGATAGATTAGACAGGCGACAGGCAGACACACGACAGACAGACAGACAGGTAGATAGAACATGACAGATAGAAAATGATAGTGATAGATAGATAATCATAGATTGATACTGATAGATAGACAATGATAGATAGACCTTGATAGATAGACAATGGTAGATAGAGAATGATAGATAGATAATGATAGACGGATAAAGACAAATAGACAGACAAACAGATAGATAGATAGGTAGATAGATAGATCTAGCTAGACATAGCTAGATAGATAGAGCCGTCTCATATGCAGAAATCATCTGAAAAAATCGATTAAACTCGACATTTTGTCCTCATTTTGAGGGTCAGAATCCCGGTTGCGATGCTTCACAATTCCTGATTTGGATGTGTCTGAAAATGGGCTGTACCTACCCTAAATGGCCATTTTGATAGAGAGAACTTGATGATAAAGCAATCGATTTTGGGTTTTCCATGGTTTCATCTAAATATTCAGGTGTCGGGTACCCAACCCATTTTGATGATTTAGCGAAAGTTTGGGATTTCGCATGATTTCCTATGGTTTTCCAGATTCAACTGTCCTGCTTTTGGTAGCTCAAAAGTCCGAATTCGAAAGAGGCTATGGAACATCATCTGTTCTAGTAGGAAACTCAAGTCAACTCATCTATATATTGTCCATTTTCTAGCTATCCCCAATGCTCCATGTATGGAATAGTAGTCATTTCGCGAACCATTGACCCAAATGGACATATTCCATCAATTTTCCATAGCTACTGTGGATGGTTGCGAAATACTACAGCAGCTTGGATGGTTGAAACCCATCAAAAATAATGGGATGCTTACCACATCCCTCAAATGGTACAGGGTTTCTTCCATCCATAGCCTTAGCTATGTCAGCGATGTTTGTTTACTGATGGTTTCTCATTCTGGGGTAAACTAACATAGATGTGGAAAATCACCATGTTGTTCATAGCTAATTCATCCATAAATGGGCCATTTTCTACAAGCCACCTCACCGCCGCCGTGCACACCTGCTTCTCATCCACAGACTGAAGCTGTCGCTGCCACCTGAAATTGGTAGATCTAGTTGGATGCGCAGCAGTGGATAGACCTTTAAAAACACCCCGACTGAGACTTAGCGGAAATTCATGGGATATTACAGTAGTTTGTATGATTGGATCATGGATATATATATATATATACACATAATAATATATGTATATAATGATTATGTATACACATACATATATATAAAATATAATGTATAGAATGACACGCACTAATGCAAAATTAGTGGGATATGAGTTGGAGATCATTTGACTAGAATGCTGCGGGAGTTGGAAGTTGGTTAAAACCATCTTACTATAGAGGCCTCCATCATAAGCACATCCGTAAAACTATCTCTTAAACCAATAAGTTTAGATATCCAAGTTGGCCAATTAATCTTAAAACCATCTAGCTATATTGTTTCTAAAACCAATTTAGCCAACGACCTGGGACATCACTTTACAATTCCTCACTGAAAATGAATATGTGTGTCCCTCCACATTCTTGCTAAATTTTAGCACCGAAAATGATCATTAACATCATCAACCAGTGGTTACTAAAAATTAGGTGTGTTCAAGTGGGAGACAAGTTACCCTCTGGTAAACTAACATACCTATGGAAAATAACCATCTTTAATAGGTAAATCAACTATAAATGTGCCATTTTCAATAGCTAGCTATATTTGATTACCAGAGGGTAATAAATTCAAACGGAAAACAAATACATATAAACAAACACCTATAGCCACATCAATGGGATGTTGACTGCCATCCCACCAAGGCTGCGGGCTCTTCTTGTCTGCGGTTCACGACTCCCAGCGTTGCTTTTATGGCCTGGGACCCGACAAAAAACACGAAAAACCTGCTGAAATATGTTACTTCTTAAGGGACCAAATATATCAAATATATGGCTAACTGATTTCCAATGTGGGGATGTAACATGATGTAACCAGTTTAAATCACTATTTCTTGTAGCCAGAAATACACCGAAATGGTGATAAAACCTATGAGACTCAGTGCGCCAAAGCGGCTATACGTATATAGGGCTCCGGTCCCGTCATGACAGGACGACTGGAAACGAATTGGGTCCGGACGATTTCTTTCCTCTTGGAATTGGATATAATCTCATGCGGTAAACTCTTAGTAGCTCCAACTGGCTCCAATCGAGAATTTTAAATATAATATGGATAGCCTTACCCATAGATCATCATAGATCCAGGTCGCTCCAAACCAGTAGGCCTAAGCCCTTGTAACCACTGGAGAGCCGCTATAGCCCTTGCTGGCTTCGCCTCCTTGTCTTCAAAATCTTCCAAGGTAGCCAGTGGCCTCAGACACGCGGTCCATATATGATGACGTGCCAACTACAATGCTCAATTGGATATATACATATGTTATTATATAGATGTAATAATGATAATAACAATAACAACAAATATAATTATTATTTGTGTTTATAATATATACATGACATACAATATAATATGTGATATAGTGATAACATAATAATAACAATGATAATCGTAATAATAGTAACAATGACAATAATAAACAACAATAATATTAACAACAATAATGATGATAATAATAAATATATACCTCTATCTCCTGAAGTGAGTCAACCTTAAGCCATCTTGAGGTTCAAAAGCAAGGCTATCGTTGATAAAATTAATGGGATGCAACTGGAAAAAATTAATGTGTGACATATTTATAATACACGTATTCCAAAAACACACAGGTACTGTAGCATCTCTAGTACGCCTTCAGTTTCAGGTCATTGTTGGCAATCAGTGTAAAAACTAGTAAAGACAAAGTTATATCCCCTATTATAAACTGGTTGTTTCTTGAATCAATGAACATGAGGGGTTCCTCGAGATCTCCAAAAAATCTCGCGATTTATCCAAATGCTAATGTTTGATATTAAAACATGCAATTTCAAGGTATCAACAAGTTGTGTAACTATTTTGTTCATTCAGGAATCCTTCCTGCCATAAACCCCCAAAAAAAGGCCCAAACTCAGCTTGTCGTATGTCTCTTGGTGCTGGTGAAGAGGATGTAGCCTGGTGGTGCATGACTGCATGACCGCGCCAAGATCGGGTTTTGCCTAGAAATGTAGGTATGAAACCAAGCATTTTATTTGGATGTCATGCAATAGGAGATATAGTAATGGTGGATTGTATCACGTGATATAACATGAGGCATAAACAATAAGCACAAATAAACGGGATGTTATGGGCAATACACCCAACAATATGATATGAGTTTGTCCGGATATTATAATATGCTTTAACTATACGGCAATGTATGGATGTATTCAAGTTGGGGACCCTGAGGCTTTAAACCATTGGTCTTCGGGGGTGCCCTTGGCACAAACTGAATTGGATGGCACCAGCAAAATGGAAGGGATCGACTACACAACAAGTCGTCATATATCTGGTCATTTTGAGTATATAGTATGAAACGATCCAATCCTATAGCGTCGATGTATATGGTAGGATTATAGTCGGTACAGTAGTTGTTATGTGGCCACATCGACCATCCATTCACAGTGGGATTCCCATCACGTGTGCCATGGTTTCCCCTTTGAACCCAGGGAAACCCAAGCGATTGCTGATTCGTGATTCCGCCCAATGTGTCCAACTTCCCTGCAACATGGTCTTGAGTCTTAAAGAAACGCACATGCAAGTGATTCCTTGTGTTCTCGATGTCCCTTGCATTGCGAGGGCACAACCACTATTTGGCAACCATTCCAGTTGGTCTTAATCTTTAAACACCTACAACTACAAATGTAAATGGGTACTCATGCCATTAAACATACAGGTAAGTTCTCATCCAGAATTACCCCTTTTGTTTGGCAACTCCTTGTACCAAGTAATTGCCGCGCCTGCTTTCTGAGCGGTCCATCTTCATCAAAGCCGGGCGAAGCCTGACGGCCATGTGACGTTTCGAGATGCCCACAACGATGGAGGACATCCCCTAAGAGGTGCGCAGAATAAAATTGACCAAAAGTTGGTTTATATATATATATATATTTCTATAGATCCAAATACTTTCTGAGAAGGTACTTAACTCCCCAAATCAAAGCCCAAATACTTCCAGAGAAGGTATTTGGATCCAGAGGGCATGTTAAAACCATCCTATAACTCTCAAGAATTGGATTTAAGCTTAAACTATTGTACAACCTTAAAGAAACACTGATACAAACGACGAAGGCGCTGGGTTCACTCATATTCATCCGAAGAAGAGTTTTTCTGTGGAACATGCAGAACATATACTATCTACGGTAACCACCAAAAACGAATTTCGAAAACTATGGTCTATAGTGATTACAGTATACTTTTTTTGGGGGGGGTTACTATTGATACAACGACATGCGAACAGCAACACTATAGGTAGATACATGTTCTCCCGGCCTTGAGAAATGAAGGTAGACACCACCAAGATCCACCAAGTACCAACTGGCTCAATGGGAACCCGAAAAACTACCGTTTGCCACAACATCATTCTTTATTTCTCTCTCAGAGAGTATCAAGTCCTCAACGAAACGGGGACATCGGGGACCAAGAACACAGGATACCCCGAAATGCTCTGGTTTAAGACCTCATCGGAATCAGAAATCAATTGCTGACTGATGAGGTCATGCTTTTAACCGCATCATTCACGGTCCGATCCCTTCCATGGTGAAATCCCTATTTTGCAGCCTGATGGTGTTTCCGATTTTCCCATTGTTTGTTCGTAGCTTTTCATGCTGAAATCCAACATGTTCACCGAATTTAATGGTTTTCATGGTGTATTCAGTGAATTCTACATATGCCTATATAATCATATATAATATTTACACGCGCAACGCCTGGGCTTTGCCCAGGCTTTGCAGCGTAGAGGGTCCCCATTCCCAATCAAATGTTGTTGCGACTCTGCATTCCATTGCGAAGATCAAAAAAGGTATTAGGAAATATTGAAATCCCACCCCCGTTAAACTCTACATTCAATTGGTCACCGTTAAACTTTACATGATAATGATGATGATGATGATGGTGATGATGCTGATGCTGATGCTGATGATGGTGATGATGGTGATGATGCTGCTGCTGATGCTGATGCTGATGATGACGATGATGATGATGATGATGATGATGCTGATGATGCTGCTGATGATGATGATGATAATGCTGATGCTGATGCTGATGTTGATGATGATGCTGATGATGATGATGATGATGATGCTGATGCTGATGATGATGCTGATGATGATGCTGATGATGACGATGATGATGATGATGATGATGACGATGATGATGATGATGCGTTGCCTGTCGTGGTTGCGGTTCCGGGCAAAGCCCAGGCATTTGCCGTATTTATAGATTAACATGTATTGATAAAATTAACATTATTTATGTGTATATATATATAATGTTTCTGGTTTTTCATGGTGAATTATGGTGAAATCCCAGCGTTTCGCTGCGTGTTCGCTTCCCATCTGGGCCCATCCGGGCCGGGCCTGACGCCGACGAGGATCGCTCACCGGCTCCTCAAGGAAATCGCCCTGGAGAGGTGGAGGGTCGCCAACAAAAATGGTGAAAGAAATCTGTTGAAATATGTAACTGCAAATATGGGGATAAAACAAACCATTGGATAATGATGATTTGTATAGAAAATATATATGTGCGACGGTCAAAACTCAATTCATGTGGTGAGGTCATGGCATCGCTTCATAAGGCCCCCTATCGCTACACACAGTCCCAGCACCCTTTTCACCAACTAGGCAGAATTGCTGCTAGAAGAGGAGGATCCAGATGAGGAATCGGATTCTTATTCCCCTTGCGATGGTATCTCCAGGGAAATTCAAACTTTTACTTGATCACCAAGGCTGACGTCGACAGCTTCAGCTAGACACCAGCCGGACTCACTGCAGGTCATCTGACCTCGGAGGCTGCCCTTGGCTTGTGTTGGCTTGTCTTGGCTTGTCTTGCCTGTGCTGCCTTGTTTCCGGCGCCTTTTTTTCTTCACCCTGCCTCCTTTGCAACCTAATACCACGCCAAAATGAATCGGCAAAACCCTGACCAAATGAACCCTTTAAGAACTAACCCAGTAAGAACTTGAGGGTACCTTGTTCATACTTCCCATATTTTTCCACCTATAGCACAAGTTGTATAGTTTCAAGTGACCATGTGGGGTACTCCCTAATTTCATGGATTTCAGGTATCGCTCTGGGTATCGAGGGGTATCGCTTCGGGCATCGCTACGGGGAACAGAAAATGTGTGATCTCAGGTGTATGTTTCAAGTGACACGAAATTCTGACAAGCTCCATGTTGCAATTCTACTCCTGGACAGTGGCTTTGGAGAAGCGTCCGTGACCGCACAAGGATGCTTTTTCAACATATCTCAGCACGGTCACTATCTGAATCAACATCATCACCATCACCATCATCATCAGCATCATCACCATCATCAAGCTCATGATGCGTTATGAATTAGTTTCTTGCATACCTTATAGATCAAAATACCCCAATATATCAATATTGTTTAATGTAACTATCTCATATATACTTGACGACAGGCCATCTTGCAACTACCCAGGAAGACCAGCCCACTGCGACTGCTCCAGTGTCGCACTCTGACATCAAAAGATTGGAAAGTCATGCGCCCAACAGGAAGCTTCAATCATAAACAAAGTCTAAAAAGAGGTATCGCTACATAAGGCCCCCTATCGCTACACACAGTAAATCACATATTTTGAGTAGTGATGGCCGATCGTAATTGAAGCCTTTCATAGCGTCTTTTGACCCTTGCTCATATGACAAAATAGTGGGTTACCCCGTACCAGTACAAGGGGGATTCAGTGGGTGTTCAATTCGACCATGTGGATTTATGATGATTTATGGGGATTTAACTTAGCAGCTTCAGCACACAGCGCGCGCAAGGCTGAGTGCAAGCACGCAAGCTCATCACGCAGCGTGTATTTATCATTGCCATGTATATTTTTTTTGCTAGATCCGAAACAACACATCCACTGAAATTTGCAACCTTAGAGGGCATTAGAGGGCTAGAATCCAGAAAAAACAACTTGTTGTGATGGAGTTTACTGCATCGGCAGTCTTGCAGAAAACTATGGAACCTTCACACGTTTTATAGATGCAGAAGCTTCCTATACATACCATCTCAGAAAGTCCCAAATTGGCTGCTGCTCAAATCGTCGCGCATCATTTTCTCCTCTGGCTAAGATACCAACAAAAGACACGACCAAGTCAGCTAGATTTCTACACGGACACCAACTTCTTTCATTTGTGCCTCATCAAAATGACCTGCCATCTGCTGCTTAAATCCCCATGACTTTCCTCGCAAGAAAATCCCGCATTCGTGGCATAAGAAAATCCACACACCATTCATGCATTTATGGATGTTTATGGCATAAATCATCATAAATCCAGACCAAAAACAATCAAAAACCCGCAAGAATCCGCAACTTTTTCTTGTTCGATCAGCCCCAACTCACCGCCTGCCGTGCGGTGATGGGCTCGTGAATCATGTCTCCTTCTGGGCTCCTGGAGTCACGGGGGATGAACCAGGGCTGGAAAACCATGACTTCCTATTGAAAGCAACCGGTGTCTTGGGGAGTCACCCCAAATTGAAGAACCCCCCATATAGATCTATTAATATTATGTATATATAATTTTATATACACATATGATTGACATTATGGGGTACATACAGTTGTTCAGGGGTAAATTAATGGTATGGGTCAAAATTGAGCACCCCATGCCCGTTTTCTCAACCACTGAGTTCAACGCCTTACGCGCTTGCTTGCCTCCCATCACTGGATCTTTTTTTGCTCAGGGACTTTGGAGATTTTGGAGAGATCCCGAAGCTGTTTGAAGAATGTTTTCCCTGTCGATGGTGCTGGGTCTGTTATGAAGTTATGAAGCCATCAAGCATCAAAAAAAAGTCGTCCGAGGTCTTCCCGGAATTTCCCGGACTTCGACTTCAAAATCTGGTCTCTGAACGCGTTGTACTTGGCGTCAACCAGGATTCTCCCGTGACCCTTGAGGACGCCAAGTTCACTGACGAAGTTCTCTCGTCTGTGAGACTCACTAACTCCGAGATTTTTAGATTTGGTTCAATCGCGACATGTGGGAAAATTGGGACAATTCTGATGTTATGCATCCCTCAGAAAACAAATGAAAACATGAAGTAATACGTCAGTAATACCGAGTCCCCTACCCCGGGTCTCCTACCGGCGGTCGCACCCGCTGTGCTCCGCCCCCGCGCCGAGAGCGCGGACCCCGTCGCGGCCCGACGACGTGCGCGTTGCGCGGACGGGAGGGGATGGCTTCAGCCATGGCTGCGGAAGATTTCGGGACTGCAGCAGCTTTTGTTGATTGATTTAAGCAATTTAAGCATCAAAACAGGGATTTTACCATCAAACATGTGATGATTTTAAAAAGACAGCGATTTAACCATCAAAAGTGATGATTTGTTTTCCCTCACAAATGGCGATTGAACAAACTGATTTAACCATTAAAAAAGGGGGGTTTAACACCATCAAAAATGAGACTTAATCAGCAAGAATGGGCATTCCACCATCAAGTTCAACAAGAATGAGGACGGATAAATTCTTCCCTAGATCAGTGGTCGATCTAAGGATCCCAGCTCTGAGTGGGATAATTCACTTCAAAGAATTCACTCCATAGTAACTTAATGTACTTTATGGCTCATCCCAATTGGTACGTGGTTTACAACCCCGGCTATAACTGGACTAATCCTACTTAGCCTACTTACAACTGGGATTATAATTCACTTACGATTCCTGAGACGAGCCACCAGATAAGTTATAAGTTGGTTTGTAAATCCACACAACCCAACTAAATTCCAATCATAATACTCCAAAAAAATCCATCACAGACACTACTGTACATAGTCAAGCCAGTGATGCACTGAATTCACTGACCCCCTGGGTATCATCCCCTTGGCTCCAAAAGATGCTGTTTCTACCCTCGTGTCACCAAAAACGGACTGAATAGACGTCAACGATTCAATGCCATTGTACTTTACCCACATTGGGCTTTAAATGCTTTAAGTAGTTTGACCAATAACAGTGTTAGTGTGATAACTTCATGTCTCAAAGATCATCACCCCCGTCTTGAACCACGGAAAGTTTTTAGGTGATTTTTCAGTAGTATAGACTTCTTGGATGCTCCCAGGCTAACTAAGTTTGTACTGTAAAATGATCAGCTCATTTCTTCATCTACATCCCAGACATCCCACATTTCTGGACCCCCAAAAGTCTGAACCGAGATTCAAATCCCATTGATATCCCATCGATATATCACGTAATCTGGTTGGTGGTTTCGACCATCTTGAAAAATATGAAAGTCAATGGGAAGGATGACAACCCATATATTATGGAAAATAAGAAATGTTCCAAACCACCAACCAGTAATTCTATATCCCTATGAATGGTTCGTTTTATAGCCAAACTTTAGCGCGCTGGGATGTGGTGAGGTAAACCAACAGTAGGATAACTCTCAGTTTTAGATCGGTTATAATCCACTTACTATAGCCCATTTACAATCCACTTACCAACCTATTACGTGGATGTGTCGAAACCCCATACCTATGATGTTCATCCAATGACATCAAACAACATAATAATAAAATTGACATTCATCTAACAATCCAACTCAATCTCCTAAAAAATGTGTAATAATAGGTACAATGTGGGACCCCACAGCTAAAAGTTGGTTTATAAACAACATTCTATAACTACAATACTATAGTTACTATAGTTCTTGAATATTATAAACTATAGTTGGAGTTCTGTTCGCCAACTTAGCTATCATAATCATCCATAAATCCAATGAAATCCCAATTTTTCTTGATTGAGTCAGCAGTTTCCAATGATCTTCCAATGATTTTCCAATGGTTTTCCAACGCTTTCCAATGGTGTTCCAATAGTGTCCCATGGTTCACAATGGTTTTCCAATGATTTTGGCACAGTTTCCAATGGTTTTCCAATGGTTTTCCAATGGTTTTCCAATGGTTTTCCATATCTGTACCCAGCCCACCCCTTTTTGATCTGTCAGCATCGACTGTCTGATGCCTCGCAGCGCGTTTCTGGCCACCTCCTGCACCTCTGGACCTCCGTCCGAGTTGGGGCGTGGGCGGGTCCACAAAAAATGGAGCTTTCACCATGAAAAACGCGGGATTTAAGCACCAAAAATCGCACGATTTGACACGATTTAAGCCATGAAAAAGCAGAAAAACCATGGAGCTTTAAGCATGAAACAATATGAAAGATGTTGAAGAATTGGAATCCAAACATCGAAAATGGAGTGGGATTTTAATCTTCCAAAGTGCAATTTTCATCTGCAAAACAAACATGAACCAGGAAAATTGGGGTATAGAACCAACCATTGCTGATATGTTGATATCATAAGATCAGGATCCATAACCGTCAACTCCGACAAGCTGCTGCTATCTTCGCACCGCAAGGACCTCAGGGGTAAACACTTCGATGTGGAAAAAAAAGTTCCTGAAACTGAAACTATAGCTTTCCCAGATCTATGATGATCTATGTTAGTTTGTATATAAGTAACTAAATGAATATGTGATAATATGTGGATTTCCAGCACTGGAATTAAGAATGGGACATTTTGACATGGTAGCAACAGGCTTTTGACCATCAAAGCCTCCAGGATGCCAACAAACTCCGCTGTCGGAAGACCCCAAAATTATCTTCCCCGTTTGGACAACAATACAGAAATAGGTGCGATGTGAGTCTACTGAAGCGTTGCAAGAAATCTCAAATGGCATTTCTTCATGAATATGTTCATCAAAAAGAGCAAATCGACATTGATATGGAATTATCCGGGCAAATGAGAAACCAACATGAAATTCGAATACCTCTCCCCGTGAGGCACCATATACCATACAATCCTCAGCTGTCTACCAGGTTCATCAGTTTTACCAGCACACAGGTTAAGAAACGTCCCTGCTCCTGATTGTAATTCTAAGATTTCTAAGTAAGAAACCACAAGAAATATAAGTTTGGGATCTTTCAAATATATGTTCAGTAAGAAGCCATTATTGGTTCGGGCAAATTCTTAATTTTGGATCTTTCATCACTTTGGGATCTTTCCGGCTCAGCGCTGGCATGATACCCGAACGCCTGTCATCCCCATGTAAGTTCTTCAAATCTCTATGTTTCACGAATGAACTCCCGATTGTTGAATATCATCATGCCTCGTGAAAGGACGCTATTTTTCCCGAATGCGTAGCAAGGGTTCCCGTTTCACTCTGGGGGTCTGGGGGTTGAGGGTGTGTTCGCTCGACGTTGCGTTCGCGAGCGCAACCGTCCGCAACCGTTCGCAACCGTTCGCAACCGTTCGCGCGATCCCCGTATGGCCGTGCCTATGGGAAGTTCTGCAGAGGTGGTCATTTTTGGAGGTTTCAGACGTGTCGTTGCTTCGTTTCGCGTGGCAGGTGTGGCATTTCGTGACATTCAGACGTGTTCTGCAACGTGTCGAAAGTCGTTTTGCGTGGCAGGCGCAATACTTTTGCGACGTTTTCAGAAGATGTGTTGCAGTTTTCGTGGCAGGCACAGCACTTTGGGCGTGTCCATCGTCATTTTTCGTGGCAGGCGCAGCACTTTAGACGTGTCGCGTTGCGTGTTTTTTGTAAATCGCATTGGCAGGGCTGCGTCAAGTGGTGACAAGGTGCAAATTCCGTGGCACGCATGGCATTTAGCGTGATGTGCTGAAAATTGACGGAAGCCTCGCACGAAACATCGATTTTGAGGTTGCAAATTTTCAGGTTCTAAGGAAAACTCGTAGGAAAACATCGATTTTGAAGCTGCAAAGTGTGAAAAGTGGAGGAAGTCTCGCACGAAATGCTCGTTTTGGTGCTCCCACCTGTCTCGTCTTGCGTCTCTGGTTTTCCCGTGGCCTCGCCGTGTCTATGGGGGAAGCTGCAAAACTTGTCCTTTTGTCATGTTGCCAACTGTGAAAATTGGAGGACGTCTCGTACGAAATGCTGGTTTTTCTGCATCCACGTGTCTTGTCTCGAGTCGCTGGTTTTCCTGTGGCGTCGCCGTGTCTATGGAGGAAGCTGGAAAACCTGTCCTTTTCGAATGTTTCCAGGCAGGCTGTGTTGTTGTTTTGCGTGGCAGACGTGGCACTTTCTGACATTCCAACCTGTTTGATGATGTTCACAAAATTTCAAAATTGGAGGAAGTCTCGTACGAAATGATCGTTTTGGTGCTCCCACGTGTCTCGTCTCGAGTCTCTGGTTTTCCTGTGGGTTCGCCGTGTCTATGGGGGAAGCCGCAAAACCTCTCCTTTTCGAAGGTTTCCAAGGAAGTTGTCATGTCGTTTTGCGTGGCAGGCGTGGCACTTTGTGACATTCCAACCTGTTTGATAATGTGTCAAAAATGTCAAAATTGGAGGACGTCTCGTACGAAATGCTGGTTTTTCTGCATCCACGTGTCTTGTCGCGAGTCTCTCGTTTTCCTGTGGCGTCGCCGTGTCTATGGGGGAAGCTGGAAAACATGTCCTCTTCGAATGTTTCCAAGCAGGTTGTCATGTCGTTTTGCGTGGCAGGCGTGGCACTTTGTGACATTCCAACCTGTTTGATAATGTGTTGAAAATGTCAAAATTGGAGGAAATCTCGTACGAAATGCTCGTTTTTTTGCACCCACGTGTCTCGTCTCGAGTCGCTCGTTTTCCTGTGCCGTCGCCGTGTCTATGGGGGAAGCTCCGCACTCCACACTCTACACTTTACACTCCACACTCCACAATTTACACTTTAGACTCCACACTGTACACTTTACACTCCACACTTTACACTTTGCACTTTACACTCCTCACTCCTCACCTGAGACTTTACACTCCACACTCCACACTTTACACTACACTCTACACTTTCCACTCCTCACTCCTCACTCCTCACTCTACACATTTTACACTCCACACTCTACACTTTGCACTCCACACTCCACACTTTACACTACACACTCCTTACTTTACATTCCACACTTCACACTCCACACTTTCCACTCCACACTCCACACTTTACACTTTACACTCCTCACTCCACACTTTACACTCCTCACTCTACACTTTACACTCGTCACTTTACACTCTACACTCCACACTCTACACTTTACACTCTACACTTTACACTCTACACTCCACACTCTACACTTTACACTCTACACTCCACACTTTACATTTTACACTCCACACTCTACACACCACACTCTACACTTTCCACTCCACATTTCGCACTCCACACTTTACACTCCACACTCCACACTTTACACTTTACACTCCTCACTCCACACTCTACACTCCACACTCCCCACTTTACACTCCACACTCCACACTCTACACTTTCCACTCCGCACTCCGCACTCCACATTCCACCCTTTACTGTACACTCCACACTCCACACTCTACACTTTCCACTCCGCACTCCGCACTCCGCACTCCACATTCCACCCTTTACTGTACACTCCACACTCCACACTTTACACTCCTCACTTTACACTCCACACTCCACACTCCACACTCTACACACCACACTCTACACTTTCCACTCCAGACCCCACACTCTACACTTTACGCTCCACACTTTACACTTCACACTTTGCACTCCACACTTTACACTCCTCACTCCACACTTTACACTCCACACTCCACACTTTACACTTCGCACTCTACACTTTACACTCCACACTTTACACTACACACTCGTCACTTTACACTCCATACTTCACACTCCAGACTCCACACTTTACACTCCACACTCCACACTTTACACTCCTCACTCCACACTTTACAATCGTCACTTTACACTCTACACTCCACACTCTACACTTTATACTCTACACTTTACACCCCACACTCCACACTCTACACTTTGCACTCTACACTATACACTCTACACTCCACACTTTACACTTTACACTCCACGCTTTCCACTTTACACTCCTCACTCCACACTTTACACTCCACACTTTACACTCCACACTCCACACTCTACACTTTACACTCCATACTCCACACTCTACACTTTACACTCCGCATTCTACACTTTACACACTCTACACTCCCCACTCCACACTTTACACTCCACACTCCTTACTTCACACTCCTTACTTCACACTCCACACTCCACACTCTACACTTTCCACTCCACACTGCAGACTGGTAACAAGGGAAACATGTACAAGACTGTTCAAATAAACTATTGCAGAAAGGTATTTTGCGTGACTGCATAACCATGTGTTTTGACATCTGTACCATTAACATACGTGTGAGCATTCGGGTTCGTGGGCTTCATCTTGTTTTGTAGTTATGATTAGTGATGTCAGCCGAGTGATGCTATATCAAATTCATAAACATTCATTTTCACAAAACTCAATTAGCATAAAGCAATACTGTACATACTGCAAACAATGGTAAACTATCATTGTTCATCATTACCCTCCACTAAAGCAAAATAGATATGGAAATCCACCCTGAAGATCATTTCCAAACAGGAAACCACCATGGATTTCCGTAGCTTTGCTGGTCTCATCCCAATTTATCCCAGAATCCCGATTTTAAACATATTAATCAAGTTCACCATCACGAACCTAACAACCATGGAAAAAAATACATAGAAAATCCATAGCTCACTTCAACCTTCTCCCATCCTTTTCCCATTTTTTCCATGGCCTTTTTGGAACAACCAACCCGCCGGAACGACTCCGCCGCGGCGAGGCACAACAGCTGCGTCACCTCGGGAGTCGACCGCAGGCGGCCCAGCAGGGCGCAGGCGCGGGCGCGCACGAAGCGATCCTGATGCTCCAGCAGATCTGCCGCCGGCGTAAAGACCTACGGGCTGGTGGACGGGGCTAGATCTTGTTGATCCCGTCCTCTATTTTTTTACCGTATTATAAATCTGTATGTATATATATATACAGTGTATGTATGTATGTATGTATGTATGTACGTATGTACGTATGTACGTATGTACGTATGTACGTATGTACGTATGTACGTATGTACGTATGTACGTATGTATGTATGTACGTATGTACGTATGTACGTATGTACGTATGTACGTATGTACGTATGTACGTATGTACGTATGTATGCATGTATGCATGTATGTATGTATGCATGTATATGTATATGTATGTGTATGTATGTGTATGTGTATGTGTATGTGTATGTGTATGTATATGTATGTATGTATGTATCTATCTATGTATGTATGTATGTATGTATGTGTATGTGTATGTGTATGTGTATGTGTATGTGTATGTGTATGTGTATGTATGTGTATGTGTATGTGTATGTGTATGTGTATGTGTATGTATGTGTATGTATGTGTATGTGTATGTATATGTATATGTATGTGTATGTGTATTTGTATTTGTATGTATGTATGTATGTACGTATGTACGTATGTACGTATGTACGTATGTAGGTATGTATGCATGTATATGTATGTATGTACGTATGTATGTATGTACGTATGTATGTATGTACGTATGTACATATGTACGTATGTAAGTATGTACGTGTGTACGTATGTAGGTATGTACGTATGTGCGTATGTACGTATGTACGTATGTATGTATGTACGTATGTATGTATGTATGTACGTATGTGTGTGTATGTATATGTATATGTATATGTATGTGAATGTGTATGTGTATGTGTATTTGTATGTATGTATGTATGTACGTATGTACGTATGTACGTATGTACGTATGTACGTAGGTACGTATGTACGTACGTACGTATGTATGAATGTATGTAATGTAATGTAACGTAACGTTATGTAACGTAATGTAATGTAATTCATGAATGTATGCATGCATGCATGGATGGATGGATGTGTGCATGCATGCATGTATGTATGTGTATCTGTATATGTATGTGTGTATGTATATGTACATGTACATGTACATGTATATGTATATGTAAATGTATATGTATATACTGTGTATGTATGTATATATGTATATATGTATATATGTATATATAGTATGTGTATATATAGTATGTGTATATACACACGCATCATCAACTGAGATTGTCTCAATCATTAATAAACTGAGACATATTGAAATGTCCTTCTGGCTGAATTGCAATGATTCAGGAACCTGAAATCAGCCAGTTTTGCGATATTTACCCCTACTATCCATGAAGGTAACATGGCGGTGACGTCGTTATTCTGTCTGCATGTATAAATATATCACTCATTCATAACTATAATATATATATATATATCTTGGAAAACTGATGCCCATAAATCGTTTTTTTCATAAACTGCATAATTATCGTATAATCCTAGATATTATCTAGCTTTTTCTTTGAGCCACAACTTAGTGTTATAATTTAAAATGCATATACTATACTGTAGACTGTAGATGGACGACATATTCAAACCCTGCAAGACTCTGTGTTGAACCCCCCAACCCCCAAATGCCAACGTTTCTGTGTGCGCTTTGGCAAAAGTGACGTTGACGTTGGGGGGTTGCTTATTTTGTCCATTGGAGCCAGCTAGCACACCTCAGTTCCCTTTTTACATTAACATTGAACTTTGGGGGTGAATGGGGTTGTTTTGTATATAATTTGTTTGAATATGCTGTTCATCTACCACAGTACCCTAACAAAACAACGCAATCCTTGAAGCTCATGTTCCAGTTGTACTCCCTGCTAGCTCCAGAAACCCAAACAAGTACCCCCCCTGGTCTACTTGATGACTTTGTGTTTTTGCATGGGTTTGTCAATCTATGGTTGACATAACAAAACAGGAAATGACCAGAAGGTTGAACCGTTGAACCTATCAAACCTTGACGATGTGATAATATGACATTGATGAATCGGAATTGAACAGTTCGATTAATACGAAAACTCAAAAAGATCACCAGGAGCAAGACAAGATGACTTTCACAAGTTTGACTCATACCATCAAGTTAACCTTGAAAATCCAAAAATCCTTGAAATCCTGAAAAAAAACAAATCAAAAGTATTATGTCCAAAAATATCTGTACAGATATGCTTGAGCAAAAATCACCCATCAGTTCATCGCCTGAGCAGACAATCCTCTTGAGGACTGCGACACGGTGCTCAAGGCTGTCATTGCCTCATCTGGGCATGACACAGCCCAGCTTCACCAGGACTGGGGGTGCAGGACTGGGCTGAAAAATCTATCGCTATAACATGCTATAACCATTGTAGTAAAGGCACAAGTTCGGATATGGAGATCGTTTCTTCCATGGGTTTCTTGCGCAACTTATTGAACTGCACCCAAAAGAGAGCAGCGGCACCGAGAAAATCAGATAAATAAAGCTGGACTTCAAGAAACAAAGTCTACTTCACCCTGCGAGTCCAAGTTATCCATGGCCCAGTTAGTTCAATAAATCTGCTTAATCATGGCTGATTTTTTCCATAGCAAACAAGTGGTTACACTGCCATTTGTATTACGTCGTAACGTCGCCGGTTTTTGTTGGCTAAATCTCCATGTTTCATGGTGAACAGTCATACCAATGGTTCAATGTTCTACCGTCATTCACGGACTGCTTGCAGCTTGGACACTTTCGCACATACCTGAAAAAACACGAGCGATCCAGCACCAGCTGGAAGAGGTTTGGAGCTAGACTTGCAGATACCCTACAGAAGCAAACAGTATATTATGATAATTTATGATATATAATGTACAGTACTTTAATATTGTACTACGTACTACTTTCATATATATATAATTATATATATATACATGTTTATATGTATATATATATATGTATACTTTAACTTGACATATCATATTTGTACTTTAACTCGACATATTTACGATTAGTGATATACGCACTTCAGTTTGTAAAAATCTTATCCATCTGAATCTTTCATACATGAAAAGATTGTTGCGCGAATCGCCCGAAGCACGTGTGGGCAGCTATCTTTCAGTGCACATCCCAGGGCGAAGAGCAACATGTGCTGTTGCTCCTGGGCTCGGTCCCCTTGAACCATACTGTATAGATTCATGTTAATGTTAGCTATACAACAAACACAACAAATACCTTAACAAAATCATATAGTTATCTCTAGACAACTACAACTATATACCGTACGTACCACATACAGTAATTAATATTTATGATAGTTTATCATAGCCAGTCGTGTCTGCTTTTTTGCTTTCACCACCAGAGAATTGCAAGCATTTTTCAACAGGCCTCTTTGATGTAAAATGGCAATGGAACATGCACAGGGTATAAGAGTTGACCGAGTCCAAAGATGAAGTACCCCTAAATATAAGGGATTCTAAGGGTATTTCATTGGTAAACCATCATGGTTCCTTTTAAAATTGCAATTTTGCAAAAGTACATGGAAAATCAGAGACTGTCATGTGAGTGAGTACAACTGCGTGTTTTGGCAACACTCCAATCGAATACAAGCATGCCAGCAAACCCAAAGGGCAAAAGACGACTATATCATGACTTTCGATGATTCTCCCAGAAGTATCCAATCGTGGTAGTTGTTACCTCCTGGTGACTAAGAGCTATGGAAGATCACAATACAAATAAGCGGTAGTAGGTGGAGGGTAAGATCCGCTTTCTGATTCAAATCTTTGACAACATCATATTTCCAACATCCACGCCTAACCCTCCAACAATCATCTTACAGTGCATTTGTCGTTGGAAAAAAGCATCGCAAATGAATGTACGTCTGCTGAACTAAGGATGTCCATCCCACTCAGCAAGTGGGTACCCATATATTACTGGGTATAACCATTTATAGCCCACAATTACCCACCAAAAATATGATGCATGGAATGCACATCCAATTGAGGCATCTCTATGATGTACATGTATATATATATATATATATATGATATGTATATTTCATATATCATATATCATATATCATATATCATATATCATATATCATTTATCTATCTATATGTCTGTCTATCTATCTATCTATCTATCCATCCATCCATCCATCCATCCATCCATCTATCTAATTATCTATCTATATCTATTTATATATATATACATAACTATAAATATATAATTATATAAAACTATATATATATATAACTATATATAATAGAATTACTTATATATATAATCTATATTATTCCATATTATCCCCATAAGGTCTCTGCATTTACATTATAGTTCAGTCCTAATCCCCATAAAATCAATCACTCAACCCTTTTCGGGGGTAACAGGGGTAACATTCCCACCACTTGGAGGATCATCAACATACTTAACTGGTTTCTCGCATTTGTAACTGGATTATAATCCTACAAAAACCAACCAGTTACAAGGTCATGCCCCATAACTATAACTACATGGGCTTAGTTTCACCCGCCTAACTACAGTTGTTTCATAACCAGAACTCTTACAACGTGGAACCCATTCATGTTTGTTGATTTATAAAGCCCATTGACTAGTTCCATATACCTACCTACCATAAACCCAATCGTTATTCGAGTTATGTTCACCGTACTAAACTAACTTGGGGTGATATTCCCCTAAATCCCTTCAAAACCCACAGAAACACCAACAAAAGCAACAAAATAAACCATCAGCTGCCCGCAAATCCCTAAGAAAATCCACAAATCACCAACAAAACGACCAACAAAAATTACCCCCGGCGCCTCCGTCAGGCATCCCGGCCACCAGCGACACAACGCGGTCTGTATGGCCTCGACTGCCTCTAGTCGCACCGCTTCGTCAGCGTGTTGGGCCGCCAAAAGCAACGATTTCAGGAGACCTCGGTGGTCAAAGGATATGGTTACCATCCAAAGGCGTGTTGTTTACCATCAAAAACATGGTGTTTTTCACCAGAAATGATGATTTAATATGATTTAACCATTATATAAATTGTTTTGTTTTCTTACCGTTAAAAATGATGGTTGAACTCAAGCATCAAAAGTTGTGTTTTTACCATCACAAATAATAGTTCAACCAAGAAAAGTTGTGTGTTTCAACAACAAGCATTGTGTTGTTTTGCATCAAGCACTAATGTTGTCTGACCAATAGTGATCTCTTGTCAATAGTAGAAACATTTTTCCGCAACTCCAATTTTTCTCCAATACTAAAAGTCAATTAGCTAGCTCTATTTACTTTTAGTACTGCCAAAAGAGTCATGTTCAGACCTTGTCCAGAGGGCATGGCCAATAGTGGACCCAACATGGCAATAGTGGATTGTTTTCTTCCAACTCCAATTTTTTCTCCAATACTAAAAGTCAATTAGCTCCATTTACTTTTAGTATTGCCAAAAGAGTCAAGTAAAGCAAATCCTTTTCAAAGCAGCCTTCACTTTTGATTAGCAAAAGCTTAGATTCCAGAAATCTGATCCAATTACCAAACAGCTGATTTCCTTATAAAACCCTTATTTAAAAAAGCAAGAAAACAGGTCCAGTACCGCCTTTGCAAGCCCCAGAATAGCAATAACAAACCTGCACCAGGCATGGCAATAGTGGAAACGTTTTTCCGCAACTCCAATTTTGTTGTCCTCCTTCTCCTTCTCCTTCTTCTCCTTCTTCTCCTTCTTCTCCTTCTTCTCCTTCTTCTCCTTCTTCTCCTCCTCCTCGTCCTCCTCCTTCGCCTCCACCACCTCTGCCCCCACTTCCATGTCCACTTCCGCCTTGCCAACTCTTCGCCAATCTCTCAGCAACCTAACCAAATCCATTCAGAATCTATCAGAAACCCAACAAAACCATGGAGAATCTATCAGATACATATCATGATCCCAGCTATAGATTCCCAAAAATTATTATAGGAATGTTGACCCCCCCCCCAAAAAAAATAGGGGGGTAATTACTATTAGGCAGCCAACATTATTTGTTTACCATTAACACATGTGTCTTTTACCATCAACAGTTTTGATTTAACACTAAACCAATCTTGGTTCCATCAAAAATGGTGGCTGCATCCGCAACTACAGTTATACGTAGTCAAGGGATATCTTTAGCCGAAACCACAGGTGTAGCCTGCAGATTTTCCGACCAAAAGTATGTTTTTGCTGATTAGTCTGATTAGTACAATTTCCCGTTAGCACAAAGATTAAAGTACTAAAGTATCTAACCAAGGTTAACCAGAAATATGGTTGAATCTATTGTTAATATGTTTGAAACAACCACGTTATTCCCACTTTATTGAACGCGCTGAGTATTTGAAGCCACCAACCAGATAAGGAATGGTTCCGGGGCTATCTATATATCTGATCTCTTTTTTTGGATTTGTAATCTGATCTTTCTGATCTATGCTTCTATTTTGGGATCTATGCAGTCTATACAAAAAAATATAGTCCAAGTATAGTCCAAGTTTATCTAATAATTACTGTCTATACATCCTCTCTGTCTATACACCTGTTTACAGTGGATGGAAGAACTCCCACACCAGTTGATAGGTGGGGATTGAACAGGAGGTTATCAACCGTCTTGTACCAACAAAAATGAGCGCAAAAATTAAACAAGAAACTGTGCTTAAAGTTGGAACATAGAAAAAAACGATGTTTATGTGGCTGTCCTGTCCAAAAACAAGCTTGAGCTTTTTCTAGTGGGTCCGCGCGCGCGCGCGTGCTCGCCAAGCTTAGTTAGGGTATTTAGAGGCGTGCGCTCGGACCCAATGGCAAAAGTCAAAAGTGTAGCCACTGGCTGAGGAAGCCAACATAAATTGACTGCTTAATTGAAGCAAACCTTCGGATTTTAGCAATGCTGAGTTCACCAACCGTCCACAAATCTCGAGAAAAACGCGAAGGAGCGTCCAACAGCTGGAAATTTGCAATATGGGGAAATGTGCAGTCCACGACAACAAATTCAACATCCTCATTTTGAGTCTTCAACCATCATTTTGTGTTGATTCGATGCTTTTGTTTTCGATCTTTAGCACCATGGTTGCTTGGACGTCCCAATTGAAACTGTTTAGATATCATTGATTTTGGTTTATCTGAAATCTCGATGTTGCTTTCGTAGCATTCCCATGTCTATTGACTGTTGCTTTGACAGGGACGGGCTACCCTCATCTCAAACCAAAGACACCAATCAAAAAACACAATACCTCTTCAGATTCAATTTTACTGAGTTAGTGTTGCTTTTTGAGATGTTCATCACCCATTTGCCAGGTTGAGTTTACATATACAGTATATACATATACAGTATACATATATATATATATATACATAGTATATATATATACATACAATATATATATACAATATATATATATACAATAGATATGTATATATATATATAGATATACACCCACGATATACATTCCTTTATCATGTTTGATTGTTTAGTTGTTGTCTGGGGATTGTACACTTGAGCGGTTTTTTTCCATGATTGCCACCGCCCAAGTGTCACAGTTTGATCCCACGAATCAGAGGCTTATCATCCCATGAGGATTACTGGTAAACTAACAGTTTGCTATTGAAAGTGGCCATTTAGTTCGTTGATTTACTAGATTTACCCATAAAAAATAGTGGATTTAACCATAGTTATTTTATAGTTTACCAGAGGGTATCAACGGGAAACCTCAGTGACCAGTTACGATTTGTGGTGTCCTCCAAGTGTTGTATCCCGGCAATCCCCAGGATTTTCCTTTCCAACTGCAGTTTCGACGGGCCGCTTTGGAGGCACTCCGGAGACACCGCTTCATCCCCCAAGTCACCGAGGAGTTTGAGAGCCTGGGCTGAAATGGGGATCAACTAAAGAACCAACTACATTTTATGGCGGAGGGATACGTTCTATACTATATATATATATATTGACATCTGTGATGGATAATTTTTTAGGGGTATTTTTTGTATGATACCTTTCTCGTAATCCCAACTATACGTGTATAGTAAATATATATATATATATAAATATAATGCGGGATTCTATTGCGATATAGCTGGGATATGTTGGGATATATCCACTAATCATATCCCCCGTTCATATGAGTTACACCCCGGTCCAGATCATGTGTGATTTCATCCCCAACAAAAACACCAGAAAAAAACAAAAACATGATTTCTTGGGGGTGGTCAATAGGGGCAGGGATAGATTCGATAGATATAGTTGGGCAATCCTCTGGGGCCATGGAGGGGAATCCACATTTTGCCCACTGTCTTAGCCTCGCTGAAGGTCGGTGGCAGGTCAGGGTGAGGCTGCTTCTATCGCAGGCACGATTCTGTCCACAGAACACAGGAAGCCTCTTCTGTAAAGGTCTTCCAATTCTTCATGTTGTGTCCAGAAGGACAAGTTTTTGCAGTGTAGGATTACAGCCATGGCAGCGAAGAGGAGCCATCTATGATATCAGCGGGATATGTGACATCAATGACCATCCCCCCATATCCCCCCATCAGGAAAATGAGGTTTGACCCCCAACTTAACTGCCGTATAAACCAATGTAGCGGAAGTCTCCTAACGGATCCAACCAAAAAGTGAACTAAGAAACGTGGCAACTCTCTAAATCCGGCAGAAATGTTCAGACTTCCTGACTGCAATCTCCAAAGATTATGTTGAAGTGCCACTCTGAAGAGTTTCTTAAAACATGGGGTCTGTGGCCGAACCTCAAAGGCAGTTCTGAAAATTGTTCGAAATAATGTGTATGGCTGCGAAATCCAAATCCCTAGTTGGTAGATGGGCAGTTTATCCGTTTATCCCATGATCCTCTGATTTGGACTGATGAATTAAGTTGCATATAGTTGCATATAATCATAACTGGTCGGTGCTTTCAACCCCCCTGAAAAATATTAGTCAGATTGGATCATCATCCCAACTATTAGGGAAAATAAAAAATGTTCCAAAACACCAACCAGACAATATAGTTGTATACCAGCTGGTGCATCATTTCGCAACTATCCACAGTATCATCATGTTTGTTGGCTTACAACCCCCACTTGCAACACTCCACTGACAGCGGCAAACCAACAATCCTTGAGAACCTACAGATACCATTTAAACAGCCGCTGTAGCCGGTGGTTCAAAACCCTAGCTGCCACAACTGGATTAAAACATCATTTGCTGACAACTAACTCTATTTTGTCCAATTTAACCCGGTTTTGGTTGGTCGTGTTCCCAAAAAAAACATAAGACAGGCAGAAACAAATGTTTGAAGTGACTCATGTTCTACATTATTAAAATTATTCAGTACATAAAACTTACTCCCACAAAGAGCCGGACTCAAAAAGAAACCATAAATGTTTGAAGGTCAAAAACCGAATCTTGGGTCCAATCCCACTGACAACCCCTTTTTTGGGTAGGTGAAATCCATTTTTTTGCCGGTTCAACTGGTGCAACCTCAGAGTCTTGTGGCCCAGAACCATCAAAACATGCCCCATTTATCCACACATAAATAAAACATTGGGTTTAGTGTTGGGTCTACCGCGCTTTAGCACATCTGGCTGGTTTCAACCAGTCCCAGGCAAAATGTTACTGCGGTATATATTTCCCAGTTTGATGAAGTTCGAAATCAGCTATATAAATTCTCAGAATATCTTCATATTCGGGGTTAACTTGAATTTATATCACCATAATTTTGTAGGTGACATACAACATCATACCACACTACCCACCCTTCAGCAGTCAATAGTTGTTGGTTGTTTTTTTTGAGTTGGGTGATTGCTGGTTATCACTGCCATTTGTTGTTGGGTTCATGGTTGGTTTTCCTCAGGAAAAAACTCATCCCCTGTCATCATACCATTGTTATCCTGATTTTCTGATATCAACAGTACTATTGCTACACCACAAACTGTGTTGTTAAAATCTCGATCGTAACCCCATATTATATATATATATATCTAAATATATATTCTATTTTGAGCTGAAATCCTTATCATTGTCGACCTATTCTCTTTTGGCTCGGTTTTCTGCATTCAGTTGATCTCTCTGTTGATTACTATGATTGTCATGACTATAATGTAATATAACTTCTTACTGTAGATACTGGTTATTGTTGAAGTACTAAATATTGGCCAGTGTCGCTATTATTCTGAATTATCCATAGTTACTATATCTATATTATGAACTATTGCATGAATGGTATGGTTATTGTTACTTACGAATAATTCCATCCCACCTTCATATGAACCTCCCCCAGAACCCTACTTAGTGGAGTTAGTTTGACCAAAATTAACTAACTATGGGGCACCACATGTAGTAATCATAATAGTTAAATTGGTTTATACTATAGGTTGCAGTACTTAACTATAACTAGGGGGTAAGTTCATGAATTACTACACATCTAGTAATATGGGTTTTTTAACTATGGGGCACCACTTAGTTTATATACCAAGTTCCCCACCTCTTCTCACCACGATCCGAGCAACGGCTCGTTGCACGCGGCCGCAGCTGTCGTTCAAGAGCACAAGCACCGCTTGCAGAAGGGGCTCGGGACCTGGATGGGAATCATGGTGATGTTATTCGATTTGACCATGAACAACGGATAAAACTATGGGATTCTAATGGTATGTAACCATCAAACATGGGATTTAACCATCAAACATGAGTTTCTCATGGTATGTAACCATCAAACATGGGATTCTAAAAAAATTGAAGCATCAAACATGGGATTCCAATGGGATTAAAGGGGAATTTTCATAATATATACATGGATATACATAACCAACTTTATATGATATATGGGTTTGCCTGAAAATGGGGCATACCTCCATCCATGTGTTGAGGGAAACTGACGATAGGTACCCTATTTTCAGACAAACATATATTTGGAATATAATCGATGGTATTCTGCTGACTTGTGGGCTATTAGCTTAACTACGGGTTAAACATAGGTTAGCTAGGGCTAGGGTTAGTGGTGGTTATAGGTAAAGTTCATGGGCCAATGGGAATTAAAATCCAACTGTCACTTGAGGATCTAGGTAAATGTGGGTTAGATAAGCCAAGATAAACTCACAGTCTGACCATGCGAATTGCCTGTATTTGAAGGAAAACAGGAAAAGGTCAATGTTAATTGGTTTGTATATCAATTTCATGTCTAATCTACATTAACTTTACTGTATAGTTCTAAAGTCCATCTCATTTTCAGATTAAACCATGTATGGTTTTATCGAAGGGAAGTTTAGAAGTCAAACTTCCGATAATAGGGACAGATGAAAATCAGAGATGGGAAGAGCCAGAGAGAAGAGAAAAGTAAAAGAGAGAAGAGCAGAAGAGAGAAGATCAGAGAAGAGAAAGAGTCAGAAGAAAGAAGATGCAGGTGCGCGAAAAGATAGAAAAGTCGCGAAACACTGTGTTTTTCCAATGATTTGTGGCTCCGGAGGGTCGAAAAGTAGGCTCGCTAAAGCGGCGGGTGCATAGCCATCTGGCCAGATGAGAGATGAAAAATTGCAAGCCGTTGTGACGCAAAGCACATTTGCAAGTGAAGAAGCTAAAAACACCTCACGTTCGAACACTTTTGCGAGTTGAGATGTCGAAAAAGTGCACGCCGTTGCGGCGCGAAGCACATTTCGAAGTCAAACTGTTAAAAACACCTCACGTTTGAACACTTTTGGAAGTTGAGATGTCGAAAAAGTGCACGCCCTTGTGGCGCGAAGCACATTTCGAAGTCAAAATGTACAAAACACACCAGGTTCGGACCACTTTTGGAAGTTGAGATGTCGAAAAAGTGCACGCTGTTGTGGCGCGAAGCACATTTTCAAGTCAAAATGTTTAAAAAAAAACACCAGGGGTTCGGACCACTTTTGGAAGTTGAGATGTCTAAAAAGTGCACGCCCTTGTGGCGCGAAGCACATTTCGAAGACAAAATGTTAAAAACACCATGGGTTCGGACCACTTGTGGAGGTTCAGATGTCGCTTCGCGTGGCAGGCGCAAGGGATTGTGCACCTGGGCAAAAGTGAGCAAGACGTGAAGGTTTTGTAGCATTTTCAACTACAACCACCACTACACCACACTGCACTCCAATACACTACACTACAACTACACCTTCACTACATTCCACTACACCACACTCCACTGCACTCCACTACACTACACTCAATTACACTCAATTACATTACACTACACTACCCTACATTCCACTACACTACACTACACTACATTACGCTACACTACACTCCACTACACTACACTACACTACATTGCACTACACTACGCTACATTCCACTACACTACACTACATTACACTACACTCCACTACACTACAACTACACTACACTACATTCCACTACACTACACTCCACTACACTCCACTACACTCCATTACACTCCACTACGCTACACTAAATTACACTACACTACACTAAATTACAATACGCTACACTACCTTCCATTACACTCCACTACACTACACTCAATTACACTACACTACACTACATTCCACGACGCTACACTACACTACACTAAATACAACTACAACTACAACAATACTACATTTACACTGCGCTACACTACACTACACTAATTACACTACACTACACTACACTGAATGACACTGCACTACACCTACAACTACAACTGAAACTGCAACTGCAACTACACTACATTACATTACACTAATGACATTACACTACACTTCACTACATTACACTACATCACACTAACTACCACTGCAACTACATAAGACTCACTACACTACATTACACTGCACTACACTACACTACACCACACTACACTACACTACATCTCACTACACTACAGTACACTACACTACAGTACAGTACACTACACTCAATTACACTACACTACACTACACCACGCGACATTACACTACACTACACTACGCTACACTACGCTACGCTACACTACACTAACTACAACTACAACTACAGCTACAGCTACAACTACAACTACAAGTACAATACATTACTTAACGCTACACTACAACTACAACTACAACTACAACTACAACTACAACTACAGTACGCTAATTGCATTACACCACACTACACTACACTACACTACACTACACCTACACTACGCTACACTACACTACACCTACACTACACACTACACACTACACACTACACACTTCACACTTCACACTTCACACTTCACACTTCACACTACACTACACACTGCACTACACTACACTACACTAATTGCATTACACTGCACTACACTACACCACACTACACCACAACACACCACACTCAATTACACTACACTACACTACCCTACCCCACATTGCATTACATTACATTACATTACATTACACTACACTCATTACACCACCATAAATGCAACTGCAACTACACTACGCTAATTAACACCACAACTACAACTCCACTACACTACAACTACAACTACAGCTGCACTACACCACACTACATCCAGCAGTTGTGGGTGAGGTGACCGACCAGGTGACCACTGCAACCATTGCAGCCACTCCAAAAAACACAGCTCCAACCACCTTTCGGTCCATCAGTGGATTCTCTCTGCCATCCGTGATTCACAACAACCAATCTCTCCTATAGGTTTCCTATTTTTGAAACTTCCGCCACCGCCTTGCGCGGTACTACTGGTAGTCAGTTCATGTCAGTTCCCCAGCTGAACATCAATCGTACTCCGTTCAGAAAACAGATTTGAATCCACCAGCCATCACGATAAACGCTCAAATGTGGGGAGGGGAGGGGGTGTTGCCCTTTTTTTAGGACAAACCCACATGTTGGCTGTTCTAATACCGTCCATCAAATGCCTGGATATTAATTGAACCAACACATTCCGTAGACTAGATGTTGAATGTGTAAGATTTTCAGGACACGGAATTCATATGAATTCATAATGCAACCGTGTGACCTTAGAGCATCCCATCTATAGTCATATATTTATATATTGTATTGTACACAATTGGTTGTCCAGGTAGGATGATAGGGCCCCGAGACGCTGAAGTTGGGCACCTTGAAGGGTGAGTGAGATTCACCGAAAACCGAAAAGGCATACTTCGAGTATCCAGTCAGAGTCATAGTAGTTCCATGTAGTTCTAGTAATTTATTGGAGATAATAACCATAACCCCATCTTAGTCATCGACCGGGCTTGAAAGCAGCCACTCCTCCCGTTCCCCACCTATTCGCGCTGGTCCAACAGGATCGCTGTGGCTTAAAATCTCCACGGACTCTAAGAAATCCTTCAAACGACGTTGCCTATGGAGGTGTTTCTCGAAACCGCCAGACGTCTATTAGGGTTGATGATCCACATTTGAAGCATGTGTTCAATTGTGCCAACGCGGGTCATGAAAAAATGGAATTTAATCAGGAACAATTGTGATTTAATGGGAAAAACAGGGCTCAACCATCAAACATGGAGATTTCATCATCGAAAATAGGCGTTGCAGTGGTTGACTTGAGAACAAAAACGGACAAAATGCAACAAATACTTTTTGTTGGCATGTAATCCTTGTTGAGTCGTGGATATAGGTCAAAAAAATAATACTGAAGAAAAACTAAAATAATTAAAATATCTGTGGTCCACTGGTCCCCTGTGTCTTGACTGTTGCTCCGTGCTCATGCCTTCTTGTCTTGCTTTCATCATATGGGGCATGTTCTATGTTAAATTACCAGAGGTTAAGAGCCCACGATGTGGATGTGGACCCCACTGGTTAATTGGTTCCCAAGCTACTGTGCAGTATACATGGGCTAACAAAAGGAATGACCTGTGGTCAACCGGGATACTAACCACCTACTGGAATGCACATCAAATCATTCCCTGAGGTGGCGATTTAAAGTCACTGAATTGACCTGGAGTAACCTGCATGGAAATTGTCACAGGAATCCATTTTTGGTGCTTTTAAGCCATCCCAAAAATATGCGTCATCTCAACCAATCATAATATATCAAGTGTGATTGAACAAAAACTACAACAGCCAGCTTTGAAACCCTCAACTAGGAATTCTTTTTTTGGAACACCTGCGCCATTTGAGTCCACTACTCCCACTTTGATTCTTGGCTGCTTTCATCCCCATGAGAGCGATGAGACTTCAAATTTTCGAACGCTGAAAGGTCCTTGATTAGTGAATTGATGCCTATCCACTGCTGAACAGATTTGTGGTGCTTTTCTTCCAATTGGTCATTGTCAAATCCCAGATTGTTGAAGATGAAATCCAAGTTTTCATGCTTCAACTCCACATCTTGACACTGAAACTCCAACTCCCAATGTTCATCTGTGTTCTCTCCAATACTTTCCCAACCATTTCCCGTGCTCCCATGAAAATCCGCCATGGGATGTGACCCCTCCCAGCTTCGCCCAAGGCACTTCTTGGGCTCCGGCCAGACGCCTTTCCGCAGCTCGGTGCGGAGCCGTTCCGCCGCTTTGCTGCGCTTCAGGCGACGGGTGCAGGACAGCAGGGACGGCAGCGCCAGGGCGCGCGTGGCGCAGTGGTGCGACACCAGCACGCTGCACATGTCACCTGGGTGGTGTCCAGTCATGTGAATGTTGGTTGATAAAGCATAGTAAGTATACATAGATATTTATATATATATACAGTATATATATATATTACCATAAACCCAAAGGTGAAATTGCAGTTATGTTCACCAACGCTAGCGAAATGTCGCACCACCTTGTGGGCATGTTGAAGTTTGATGACCTGGATGGATGGGAAGTGCTAAAAACACAAGTCGCTACACTGCTACACTGTTACACATGTCACCTGAATCGTGAAATGATGGTGATTGTTTTTATGTAAAATTATGGGATATATTGAAATATTATGTAAATTAGTGTTATACTAAATAGTACATCTGATAAATAGACACAATTGGAACATATTGAAAATGTGAAACAGACATCTGGGATTTCAGCAAAGAGCTAGAGCTTCAACATTTCAGCCACAGAATTCGGGACATGACCTGATTTTTTCGGGAACAAATACAGGAATCAGGTTTTTTTTTAATGCAACAAGTTACGGTTCAACTCATAGACAGAATGGGAACGGGATGGGGATGATACCGTATATACCATCCAAACATTGGAGGTCAGTCAGAAAAGTACACAACGTGGAGGTTCCAGTGTTGCGTCCGAGTATCCAAATAACAGTCCCATGATGTCCCATGTTTATTCAACATGTGGTCTCTTGAAAATATCCTTATCTTGCTTGGCTACAGGCTACATGTATCTATAGCTCTTAATGGTTGGCTTTACTTATCATCGGCTCAGGAAAGTCCCTGTAGATTGGTTGGAGGAGCGATTGGCGTTCTCTAAAAAATTGCCCATCCTACATACCCGGCAAAGCACACGAAAAATAGCTGGTCAGAAAGTATAGCCACTTCCAAGAAAAGATAAGTTATAGTACTAAACTACCATCACTAGTCGGTTTAACATGTTTAACCAAGTATCCAGACCTATTTCTGGTTTTCTAGTCTGATACACCCAAGACATTCCAAGACTATCCCCTTAAAAAGTCACTACGAATCCAGTTCCTCAGTGCCGAAACGCGTAGTTCAAGGTAAACCAGCAGGGATGGTCCAGCTATCTCCAAGACGCTGGCCATGGCTCCCGCTAAACCAAGGGTCTCGATAAGGGGGTAGTCAATATTGGGAAAGGATTAGCGATGATTCATTAATGATTCATGAAAGTGGATAATCAATCATGAATCATACCCTCCTAAAATCATTAATACCCCCTGAATCCACATTGATGTGGATAATCATGGATCCTTAGAATTTCCTGGAATCAATACCCTCCTATAGACGCACAACCGATCTTCTGTTTGGAGTCCCATGAACCAGGGAGAAAACATCGGCTACTGACCTTGTTGAACCTTTCGAATATTGGCGCTGCACAATTCGGCTCCTAAAATCACATGATCTGAAATGTGCAACATTGTATCATATGGTCTATCCAAATAGGACTATCCAAATATTTATCATATTATATTAGGATAGTCTATATATTATGATAAATGTGCAACAGCAATATCAGCAATGACAATAGGACTATCCAAATATTTATCATACCAATTATCTATCTATCATATGCGACCTAAAATCTCATAAAGACTTGTGATTTTCAAAATGTCTCCAGGTCTTTCATATTAGAATGCCCTGGTGATCTCTATGGAAAATTCCCCATTGATATAAATTGGATCTAGGAAGATTATATGTGTAGTCTACATTATATATATATATATATATTATAACATTACGGCCAAACACCTTGATTTGCCCGCGCTTGTCCGCGGCCATCTTCGTATGTGCTGAAGACGTGGTAAAAATGGGAGTTTTTTGCATCATGGCTAACTTCATGTTCTATATCGGCACGCACAGCATAGGGACCTGTGCGAGTCTCTTACACCACATCATCATCATCATCATCATCATCACCATCATCAAACCCTTATTGAAGATCTTCAATGGATGTAGAAGTTTAACGGGGCTGGGAGAATTAAACCCTTATTGAAGATCTTCAATGAATGTAGAAGTTTAACGGGGTTGGGAGAATTAAACCCTTATTGAAGATCTTCAATGAATGTAGAAGTTTAACGGGGGTGGGAGAATTAAACCCTTATTGAAGATCTTCAATGAATGTAGAAGTTTAGCGGGGGTGGGAGAATTAAACCCTTATTGAAGATCTTCAATGAATGTGAAGTTTAACGGGGGTGGGAGAATTAAACCCTTATTGAAGATCTTCAATGAATGTAGAAGTTTAACGGGGGTGGGAGAATTAAACCCTTATTGAAGATCTTCAATGAATGTAGAAGTTTAACGGGGGTGGGAGAATTAAACCCTTATTGAAGATCTTCAATGAATGTAGAAGTTTAACGGGGGTGGGAGAATTACACCCTTATTGAAGATCTTCAATGAATGTAAAGTTTAACGGGGGTGGGAAATTTATATTCCCTAAATACCCTTGTTGATCTTCCCAATTGAATGTAAAGTCTAACGTTTGATATCTCCAAGTGTACAGCATAGAAGGGGTGTGGGCGAATCGGGGCGTTTGCGCGTAACATTACATTCTAATATAGTGTTCTATAACCAAAACATAGTAGTTGTTGGTGTTCGATCAAGAACAGGAATTTTCCGAGATAAGCTTTGTGTTGATTCGCAAAGGATTGTAAATTGAACATATCCCAAACTTGTGGAACGCCCAGTGCAAAATTGCCTCAGTGCCAAGTTGAAATCCTGCAGAAACTATGTTTTGAAAATCTTTTTTTCTTGAAGATTAGCCTGTTTTTTTCAGAAATGCAGGAGAAATCAACATCAAAACAGGTCGGTCACGTCTGCAGAGATGGATCTTTTCCACAGCGAGATTCGCAGAAAGCCGGGCCAAGCTTTGGAACCCGTAAGCAGAAAATATAGGGCTTTGGATGGCTTTGGGCACCTGGGAAATTGAAATCTATGTGTAAAACATGTTCCCTTGTCTTGGTTTTGCTGGAAACTAGACTGGTGCACTTTTGAAGCAAAGCCACATTACTTCTCTCAGTGATCTCCACTGAAAGGTCCGGAAATCCTAAGCACTTGACCCATTTTATCCCATTTTAAAAGTATGATCAGCAGTAGATGGTGGATATGGGAAGGAGTCAAAAAGGAAGCTGAGTACCACAATTTTACTTATTCATGGTCGAGGCCCATGTTTACATGATGAATCAATTTAAGGGATACTCTGGATCTAAATGTTTGAGATGTCGACCCAACCAGGCTGTTCAATGGGCGGAGTTCATGGGATCTGTCTTGCTTTGCTGAAACGGATCGAATCTACCACTTCCACTTCTTCTTTTGGGGCACGGCTCCCCGGTGTAGACAACATACATGAGCCATCAACCTACATGACATGGTACATATATTGATGCTTTATATATCCAACATTAAAGCCATCTTACATTTCTATTCATTCAAATTTACAGCCTATCAAGCTGACCGTTCATCAAACCTGCCATGAAAGAAACTCCAAGGGAACTGCCCTGGAACGACAGCTCCTAATGCGTTTTCACATGAGCAGTGTACGAAACCGGCAAGATCATTTAATTATCCTCGTTAGTTAAGCATGGCGTTCTCACAATATAATATAATATAATCATTGACTATGACAATCCGCAATAGATTGGGTAGTATAAGCCCCTGTAATCATCAACACATGGTGCAGATGTGCATGGTTGGTTCTATCTGCATCATGAAGAATTTGAGACCCACTTGATGATAATTTATGCCACACAGCAAGAGCTCAACATGATCTGCACTGCAGCTTCACTACTTAAAATAATCAGAGAAATTACAGCAATTTATAAAGCTCATGTTTCCATATTCGAAAAATGATTGACCCTACCTACCATCATTTATCGGTTTATCGTGAACCAATTTTGCAAGTTCTTTAGGATTGACCCAGCTTGACCCAGCTTGATTCGCCATAGAGCTGAATCTTTGCAGCCCCTCCTACTGAGGCGCCAATCGTCGCACTGCTTTCATGATACTGATGAAACTGGGTATGGAATGTCTCCACTGATCTGTGCTACCCGATCCTCACAATGTGGGCCCCCCCAGTTATAAGATGGTTTATAAACCCCATTAACTATAGTTATAGGTACCATAAACCATAGTTCCAAAGTTATTGGAGTTATAAACCAACTTAGCTATCTAGGGGGCCCCACTTTGCATGAGATTTCAGTCCACAACAGCAAATTGGGGGATTCAGAAACAATCTGAGTGCTGATGTGAGCAGTTTATATGATGAAAAGAGAGACCTATCTGTATGTCGTCCACAGAAGTCCATCGGATTTTCGGTGCATCTTCCCCTTGCCTACAAAAAAAAGGTACCTGTCATAGCAAAGAAACGTAGCAACTGTACCAAACAATAGTGCCAACCCCAGGCCCGACTCGACTGGCACCTCAATCCCTCCCGACACCGGCCCCTCATGCGGTGCGATCATCGGTGCCTGGCCATGGCACCGAATGGATCTAATTGGTTGCATTGGCTTGTGAGCAAAAAAACATCAAGAATATTCAAGAATCATGGGTGATCCAAGAAACATGAGCATTGAGATTTCTCTCTTTGAATCTATTTGACCATTTCGTAGACAAAACCAATGAAAATGGGGCTTCCATTGGGCTTCCCACATGCTAACCTACCAACAGGATAGCAGAAAGTATGGTGGAATCACTGGAATCACCGAAAAAGGCAGCAACACTTGCACTCCAAAAAAGGCTGGGTCACCTGCGCTCCTTAGCTTTGAAAGAACTTGCGCAAACCTCAGGCATTGCGCTGCGCGTTCATCTCATCACCAACATCCCCCGGTGAGAACATGTGGAAAACATTGGAAAACCCAACGCTTCGTCGTCATCCGAACAGCTTTCCCCGCTTTCCCCATGGGTTTTCCATGGTGCAACTGCCAAGCAACTCCATGGCCACGGCCGGCTGGTCTTCAGCCTGCGGAAAGTCATCGCGGGAAATTAGGGGTTGGTTCTGGTGGATGAAAATTCTATGGCTTTAGCACCATGGTTGCAGCGTTTTGTTCGGCAAAGATCAGGATATGTCAAGATCCAAATGACCAAATGACCAAATGGCGTTGATCATTGATGACGCCTTGGCAGCTTCGACACAAAATCATATCTGTCGGGAATCAGTATCCTGATCCCAGGTGGGATTGAAAAAAGATAGCATTTGAAACCACCTAACCAGAGATTCCACAACTGGTGTTCCTTGAGGTCTGAAGTTTGGACTGGTGTTGATCAGGGACCTAGTATGACACCAGTAAAGCAGCGTCGATCTACCCATCGTCCAGTGATGTCGTGGTGACCTTAATATTCCGAGCAGATTGATGGTGACCTCAATATCCTTTTGTATGTCTTTGTCAACTAATGTCTATCCACATAAAAATAAAAATTAGCATCTGATTTCCTAGTCTTGGCAGCTTGAATCTGTAAGTTTACAGCAGCGATTCATTCTCAATATTTATCTTACTTAAATCGCCATGACTTGACTAAAGAGATCGCGGATCATGTTTTGTTAATGTATTTTTCCAGCTGAAATCTTGAGTCAGTTCTTAGTTTTTGATTGATCCCATGTTTCTCTGTTCACCCCGCCTTTTGCATGATCCTAAGTCATGGAACTTATAGAAATGCATAGACTAGAATTGGATTATCATACATTAACCATCTCAAAAGTCGTTCTCAAGGTCATTTGTACATCATAAACCATCCGATTTCCCATGTGTTTTGGCACCTCCAATGGCCGTGACATGAGACAGCCAGAGTCCATGTAGCAACAAAGCCTGGCACGTTTCCAATATTCATCCAAGAGTAGCATAGCTCAAACGCCCTGAAGAACTATATAGATGTTTCAAGATGTTAGATGAAACACGTTCAAAACAATCATGGTGTGTAATAGACTAAACTAGTCATACCATACTTTACCATATGTATGTACCTATAATACCCCAACTACATTAATGGTAACTACTATATAGAACCACAGGACAAACGGTACGAGACAAACCATGAATGTATAGTATACATATACCATTAACAATGAACATTAGCGTCTGGGCAGATCTCTGTA